CATTAGTCATCACAGAAATATAACTCAAAACCACAATGAGAAACATCTTACCTCAGTTGAACAGCTTATGTTCATTCAAATATACATACCCACACGAAAGCACATATCTGGGGTGTCCATAAAGCTTGTGTGAAATTTACTGCGTTAAACTATTTTAACATACACTGAAATTATTTACCTATGATCCCATAAGCAGTAAGAGTAAAAACTTTCCACTCTTTTTCCTCTTCCCATAGAGGTTACCTTGATTCCTACACCAGCATTTGTGTGACTAGATTTCTGAAACATCCCTTTTGTTATTTAACACGCATTTTCCTTAAAGTTTCAGTTTAAAAGTACAGACAGTAATGGGTTTGGCGATTGAGGGTCATGCATTTGCTAATATTTTAGAAATTTGATGCTCTTTGGCCAAGTCTCTGAACATATGGACCAGATTGTATTCAGGTCACTGTTTTGGCATTCAGAAATTAGGTATTAGAGAGTATACATCGAAGACTGCAAGGACTAGGAGATGGAAAAAAAATCATGCAAAATGAAGGCAGGTTCTAAGAGGACTTTTTCAGTGTTGGTAGTAGATTAATAGGAGAGGGGATTTGTTAAAGTGCACAGAGGATTTAAATGTACAGAAATTGATTATTATATTCTTAGAAATGCAGTTTGATTTCATTTGCCCAAATTGAAGGAAAAAGTGTTGTAACTGATAGATTTCTCTTGGGAAATGATTACTTCACTAATTCTCAGTTTGCAATTTAGTATGACCTGTCATGAAGATTATGAATGTCTGTATTTTTTTATAACCAAATAGGATCATTGGCAGTGGCAGAAGTCTTGTATAAATCACCACAATCACAAGAAGAAACAGCTAGAAAATAGTTCCTGATTATGATCAGAAAAACGTTCTTTCATATCTGTCCTCCCCTGGTGCCTCAGAATGAGAGTCTAATTTTTCTTGGTTCATATCTAGAGATACTGTGTACATGAGACTGAGCACCAGGCATTCAATCTTCCTGTCCCCTTCTTCCAATGCAGGCCTGAAACTTTAATATTTAAGCTATATTAAGAGGATTTAGAAGATAACTTTCTTTCATTTCTAAAAGAAAGTTAAATGTTCTTGAAGAAACAAATGATTAAAGGTAGATTGGTGGAGGTGGAGGGCAAGGACCCCAAATACTGTGGAACAGGGGATTGAAAATTCATAAAGCTAAAAACATCAGTATGTTATATGAAGGAAAGAGCAAACAGCAATAAAAAAAAAGAATATCTAGGCAGAATCTTAATCATGGTTCAGATATAAGAGCATTTGACTTTTTCTTTAAGAATTTTTTTTGATTGCCTCCGAAGTTTTGCTTAGTTGCTATTTCTGTCTATCCAGTTTGACTCTAAGATGTTGTGATGACACTAGAAGAGATCTTTGAAAAGCAATATGATTAGCATGTTCATTGTATGTTGCCTTGTTCTTTTCTAGAGTTGCCTTTTGCAGTATCTAACCTATCATGCTGGGAATGAATACGTAAAGTATATAAAAATACTAAAAGTTGTTGCTTGCATGACTCATATCTATAACTGATTCAAAATTAAAACATAAATTTACAAAGTATACATTTATCAACTTATTTTAAAATAACGAGAAATTTACTACATATCACATAAAATAAATTTTATAAAAATTAATTATATTTTTCAGAACAAAATAATAATTTATATTTTTATAAGTACTGTGATGCCTAATTCAATGCATAGTAATGCAATTGAAGGCCTGAAGGGGTTAGGCCACCAGGCAAAGGATGGCGTTAATTGAAATAAAGACTGTCTCCTTGCTAAATGGGACTATCTTCGTGATTTGTGGTCTGGTTTAAATTTTGTTTTTCTGTGAGTCATAGGCTCATTATCTGCTGCTTCTTACAATTGGATAAATTTGGCACTTTCTTTAATGTTTATAAAGAAAATATGACCTCATATAGATATAAAGTGGAGCGAGGCAGAAGTCATGTTTTTAATACATTTTTCAGATAATTGCAGATATTTTTATTTGCTACTACATGCACAATTAATAAAAACCTTTTTCCCAAAGATCAGTTGCTATGTGAAATGTGAAGCCCTGTTAACAAACCTTTGGTACTCTGTTCCATTGGTCTATCTTGTTAGATAGAATTAATCTTTATTCCTGTATCATTTTGTGACTAGAAATACTGGAATCATCTGTCATCTGGAAATATTGACTCACTGAATTATGTAGATCCTCCAATTTTTGGCATAGCTTATTATGTAATATCCTCATGCAGCAAGTAGAATTTAGAAAATGTACCTCCTTTTCTTGGGGAAAGAAAGAAAACTGTCTGTCTCCCTGGTAGACAGGAATTTCTTCATGATTTTCAGTCTGTTTTAAGTGTTTTTCTACAACCGTCTAATTCTCTCAAGATTAGAGGGTTATTTTTTGTGTTATTTTACCACTGTGCAAAACTCTGTTACACTGCTTTTCTAAGCTATAGAATAGTACACATATGAAGGTGGACAATTAAGTTGGAGACCTTATCCGGGAAAAAGTGCTACATACCTCATTGCTCTCTATCACGACAGTCACCAGATGGCCAGGGGGAGTACTTGGGAGAGGATCGTAGTGATATTCAGCAATGAGATATGTAGCACATTTTGTAGAATAAGTTCACCAACTTAATTGTCCAGCCTACTTGCTTACATGAGTGACTACATTTTCATTAATTCTTTTATTCATCTCCTAAGATGATGTTCCAGTAAACATAAGTGCTCTATTTCCTTTCTAGTTTGAATTGATAACATAAATCTTCCTTGCCTTCTGTAAAGACCATTAGCATAAGCCTCAATTTAATGTATTTTATTGCTATTTCACATCCCAGCTAAAGTGTGAACTTCATTCTGATGGGGGTAATGTCTATATATTTCCATTTTTAGTACCTAACAGAGCCTAACAAATATAGACTTGTTCATTCAGCCATGGGATGAATCTTTGTTTTATTCATACCTTTTGACTTGAATTATATTAATGCCTAAAATGCAAAAAGAAATATATATCTGGCATATTAAAAGACAGTATGTTTTAGGGTTAATTAAACACATATGCAAACAAATAAACTAATAATAAGTATATTGTGGTAATGTAATATATGTAGCAATCAAGAAGAAGGAAGGGTAAGTTTTATTTTAGGCTTTAGTTTAGCTATTGAAAATGTACACAGACATGGAAAATGAAATAATGAACAAATGAAGCATGAATGAATGAATCAATCATCTCACTGATTGGTTGATATTCAAATGGGAAAGTCACACCATGTATCGTGTAGCCCCCACAGTGTGACTTCTAGAGTACTGAAGCCTACAGATAAATAAGACTTGCATGTACATCCTAGAAACTGTGGTGACATTAGATACCTTTTTGATTAGATATACAGAGAAAAATGTTTCTTAAAATGAATCCATAAATTGAAATTTAGCTTCGAAAATAGACATGGCTAGAAAATGCTCAATATCAAGGATTACCAACAAAAACAAGAAACTTAAGGCTGCTTTCGGAATGTTAAAAATATGTCTTAGATAAATACCTTCAAGGAAAACTGTTATAAACCCACACTAACAACTTGATTAAAACTAGTGATGCAATATTTGTCTTTCTGTGCCTGGTTTATTTCACTTAACATACTGACTTCCAGTTCCATCAATAATGCTGCAAATTACAGAATTTTAGTCTTTTTATGGCTGAATAATATTTCATATCATATGTATATACACACTACTTTTTCTTTATCCACTCTTCTGTTGTGAACCCTTAGGGTAGATCTCATACCTAAGCTTTTGTGACTATTGTTATAATAATCACAAGAATGCAAATATTTATTTGATATATTGATTTCTTTTTCTTTATTTCTTCTTTTTTATTCTATATAACCAATAGTGAGATTGCTGTTTTCACTCATGTCTGGAGCTATAAAACTGGATCTCATGGAGATAAATTTAGATTGGTGGTAATCAGTTAACCAAAAGCTAGGCAGGGTAAGGGAATAAACATAGATTGATTAATGAATACAAAAATACAATTAGAAGGAATAATATCTAGTATCTGCTAGTATAGTAGGGTAGCTATAATTAACAATAATTTATTGTATGTTTCAAAATAGCTAGAAGAGAAATATTTGAATTCTCCCAATATAAAAAACAGATAAATGTTTGAGATGACGGATATCCCAATCATCATGATTTGATCATTATGCATTGTATGCATGTATCAAAATATCACATGTACCCCGAAATATGTACAACTATTATATATCAAAAACACTTAAAAAATTTAAAAATAATGCATATATCTTAAAAAACTGGTATAAGAAACAACCATTCTACTCTCTGTTCCATGAGATCAAGTATATGAAGCCATTCCACAATGTTTACATATTCCAAAACATCATGTTGTAAACAATAAATACATACAATGAATGTTATTTGTCAATTTAAAATACATTATATCTGGCTCACACCTGTAATCCTAGCACTCTGGGAGGCTGAAGTGGGTGGATTGCTTGAGCTCATGAGTTAAAGACCAGCCTGAACAAGAAGGAGACCCTGTTTCTAAAAAAAAAAAAAAAAAAAAAACCCAAAAAAACCAGATGTTCTGGTGAGCGCCTGTAGTCCCAGCTACTCGGGAGGCTAAGGCAAATGGATTGCTTGAACCCAGGAGTGTGAGATTGTGATGAGTTATGACACCATGGCACTTTACCCAGGGACAAAGTGAGACTCTGTTTCAAAATAAAATAGAATAAATTATATCTAATTTATTAAGAAAACTAGGGCTGGAGCATAAAAAGGATACTCATTGAGATATAAGTCCAGAATTAACTATACATTTCCCCAGTATAGTTTCAAAAATTATACTCTGAGAGTGACAATTAAAAAGTAAGTGTAAAATACCAAACAAGCTTCTTCTTTGTTAGTTTTCATTCATCTTTCTTCTATCTAATTCCAGTTGTTTTGAATCACCTTGAACCCTGGAAGAACTTTGTGACACTGTCTCGGATCTGCTTTGTTTTTACCCCATAAACAATGGGATTTAAAGTTGGAGGAAGAAGCAAATAAAGATTAGCTACGATGATGTGAAGAGAGGGGGGAATAGTACGCCCTCCAAAACGGTGTGTAAAGAAAGTGAAGAATGCTGGAACATAGGTGATGATGATGGCTGATATATGAGCAGTGCAGGTGCTGAAGGCCTTCTGCCGAGCATCTGATGAGGACAGGCTGACCACTGCTCGCAGGATCATAGTGTAAGACACAGATATACAACATATATCAAACACACCAATCAGGAGAGCAACCATTAAGCCATAAATAACATTGACTTTGATGCTGGCACAGGATAACTTTACCACAGACATGTGGTCACAATATGTATGGGAAATGATATTGCTTTGGCAGAAAGGCAAACGCTTGACCAAGAATGGAAAGGGAATCATTAGCAACACACCTCTCAGGAAGGTGGCAAGCCCAGCCTTGGCAATGATAGGGTTAGTGAGTATGCTAGCATAGCGCAAAGGGTAGCAAATGGCCACATAGCGGTCCACAGCCATGAGCATGAGCACGCCAGACTCTACACCTGTGAACCCATGAACGAAGAACATCTGAACTAAGCAAGCATTGAAATTAATTTCTTTGAGCTTGAGCCAGAAGATGCAGAGTGCATTGGGTAGTGTGGTGGTGCAGGTAAAAAGGTCAATGAGGGAGAGCATGGCCAGAAAGAGATACATTGGACGATGTAAGGACTCCTCATAATAAATGAGATACACAAGACCAAGGTTCCCCACAAGGGAGATGATATACATCATGCACAATGGGAGGGAGATCCACACATGTACTCTTTCCAGACCAGGAATGCCATTAAGAATAAAATATTGAGGGGCTACATATGAATTGTTGGAAACCAGCATGATTACTTCAATAAAAGGACTATATTTTTCCAGAAGTTTCTGTTTGAAGTAGAAGAAATTAAAGGATAGAAATTTGGCTCCAATCTTCCTTACAAATGCAAGCTAAAACTTAGATGGTAATATTTATTGGTACTAAAAGTAGTACCAACAATTTGAATAACAGTGTTTATGAAAATATACAACTTATTGACTAATATTATATCCCAGGTCATATTTAAAAGTTTTATAAAATGTCTAATGAAATTATAAAGCCATAAACACAGTCACAGTGTTTTTTTTTTTTTTTTATCCAATAAAGATGAAACAGGCACAGAGAGATTAAATAAAATTGGATGTCACACAGTAGGTTCGGGAACAGAAATGATATTCATGTATAACTCCAACACTCATGCAGATTCTTAATCGGCAATGCAAAAACAATACAGCTAGAGGGCTGGGCATGTTGGCTCATGCCTATAATCCTAGAAATTCAGGAGGCCTAGTCAGGCAGATTGCTTGAAGACAGAAGTTCAAGACCACCCTGGGTCACATAATAAGAACCCATCTCTACAAATAAAACAAACTTAGCCAGGCACAGTGGTATGCCTATGGTTCCAGCTACTTGGGAAGTGGAAGCCAAGGGATCACTTGAAGCCAAGAGGGTGAGACTACAGTGAGCTTTGATCATGCCATGGCTCTCAAGCCAAGGAGACCTGTTTCAAAAAAAAAAAAAAAAAGAAGAAGAAGAAGAAGAAAGCTGAAGGCATTACAACACAATCTGATATCAACATACACTACAAAGCTATAGTAACCATAACTGCAAGGTACTGACATTAACAACAACATAGACCAATGAAACACAGTACATGATCCATAAATAAACCCACCCACCTATAGCCAGTGGATTTATGACAAAGATTTCAACTACTCCAATGGTGAAAGGACAGTCTCCTCAATAAAATAGTGCTAGGAAAATTGTGTATTCACACGCAGAAAAATAAAACTAGACCCTTTCTCCTGCCATGTGCAAAAATAAATTTAATGTAGATTAAAGACAAAGGCTATATACTTATCTTAACAGGTCTTCCTTGAACACTGGGATGGAGGGACACTTTCTTTGCAAAGAACTGTGCTTTCTGCAGTTGAAGGTGAGGTACTATCACTGAATTTCCTGGTTTACATACAGGATGCTTAATTTGCTTTCCCAAAGCTATTAGTGATTAATTCAGAATAAAATCTAGGTTTTCTTAGCTCAGACTTCCCATCTTTTCCATTAAGCCAATTAATTGGCTTTTATAAAGCCACTTAATGCAGAAGTTGGGGACTAACAAGCAGTAGAAAGTGATTTAGTCTCATTTATTTGATTTTGCATTTATTTATTTCTTGTTTTTCTATGGATGAAGATGAGGCATCATATTTCTAATTTGGGAAACTTTCTGCTGCTTCCTTTTCTTCCTTGTCAAGCATTCCAGTCATTTTTCAGGAAGTAGCAAGTAGGTTTCTTGGAATGATTTATATTTTTTTCCAAAAGAAAGGGTAATTTGGTTACAAATACTATTAAGCATTACCCGAGACTCTCAGCTTTCTTATTTTTCCATGTGATTCAGGAGAAATAAAAAAGAGACCATATAGGTATTAAAAGTACAATAATGACAACAAAATAGCATAACACATCAAGATATGCTGAACCTTAACAATCATACCATCACAATTTCTCTTTTCTCCTTGGGTAATGGGTTCCATTACCAGAAATAGGTGTCAGAGCCTCCACGATGTGGTGGAAAGTGAGGTGATTGATGCTTTCTGCTGAGTCTTCTGTTGTTTCTTCATCCCATTTGGGATGGGCAGCCCTTTGACACAGTGTAGGAAGAATCTATAGCTGCCTCTGGCTCTATAGAACAGAAAACAGGCTCCTTTGAATAATCACAATCACGTGACCTTAGCCTCTATCAAAATTTGGAAACCCCAGGTATGACTTAGAGTCTAGGAAAGCCAAGGAAACTCCCTTTTAACTATCTTTTTCCTTTCACATTATGCTTCTCTAGTGATGGCCTAGAATGGCATTTTTTTTTTTTTCAAGGAAGTTAGTGGATACTAGGACATGGAGGAAAATCAACCCTATCCCCAATATCCTGGAGGAAAATGTCAGGAAAAAGCTGGATCCAGAAAAGAGACTTCTAGATTTTCTCATACTATTTCTTCTTTACTATTATCGTTGTTCTGAAATGTTTTCCCTGAAGTATCACATCGAAACTTTTAGTGACACAAAGTACTATCACTTAGCTTGAATGTTTCCATTGTATGGACTCTAAATTAAACAAATTCCATTTGTTAAATTATAAAAATCATTAGTACCCACCATATTTGTGATAGATAATTCATCCTTTGGCACTTAGCAGAAGAAATTTCTGTGTCTCTTCTCTGGTGTTTTCAGGTTTACTGTAAGCATAAATAGCAAATTTGCATACCTATCTGAATACTTGAATTTATCTGCCTATCTAGGAAAAAAAAACACTTCACTAATACTTTTAATTGTCTGTATAATCTATTTAATGTATTTACTTATTTAATATTTAAATAAACTTATGAATTTAATTCTTATGATGATCTGCCAATTCAATATTATCTATCAAATTTATCTTACCAAGACACAGTGCATTCAATATCTTCCCCAAAGTACAGAATCTTGTGTTTTCTACACAAAATACTGGGGAAGCACATCATCATTGTTCTTAAACCAAATCAGATTTATTTGAAATTCATGTTCATTCCTTTCTCCCACCCTTATATTTCCTCCAGTTTTTCCATGATGATGATAATTTGGGGATCTGTGCAAGAACAATTTACATCTATCCTATCCCTTTACTTGGCTGTGAGCTGTTTCAGTGTATGAGCTAAATCTGCCACCCATTTCACCCTATGAATGAGGACAGTGCCTGGATTCAAAAAGAATACTAGATAAATTGGAGTTGTGTTGGTGAATACAAGCTGTAGGACTGAATTAAAGAAAGGGGAGGGAGAGAGGAAGGGTGGGCTAGTGACTCAAAGGGAAAAGTTTGTAGCTATTTGTCTTTTCCTGACACAGAAATCTTAACGCTGATGTTATCTGATACTTTGCCTTTGCATTACAGCAGGTAATTTTGAGGGAAATAATAAATATAAGGAGAAGAGCTCCTTATATTCAAAAGGAGAATTTGTGAGCATCTAACTGGTACCTTCTCCACAAGAAGCACATATCCCCACCTGTACTTTGAGTGTGGAATGAATATATTCTTCCTAATTTTACCACACTAAGAAATCACCAACATTTTCTGTATGCTGATCCTTACCAATTGTTTAGAACAAGACTATGCTTTGTCATATTTGTATGGTAAGCTTAGGATTTAAATGTGTGGAAGGCTGGAAACTCCTTACCCACAATATAGCTTCAGAGAAGAAGAAATGTGAAAGGTGTTCATGGCAGAGAGAGAACTCAGGAATGTCTGTATGGCAGCACCCTGGCTTTCACTTACAGGCTTTTCAATTAGAAGTTTTAGTCAAGCCCAGTTCCCACAAGAAATAGGCATAATCTCTTATATCCTCAAGAGTCCTACATCTTAGTGTGAAACAAGGCTTAAGAGCCCCGAGGACCAAAGAGCCCCACAGCAGAACATGATACAAAGCTTCATATATTAAAAAAAGAAAAGGAAAAAAAAAAAAAAAAAAAAAAACCTTCTCCAACCATAGCTGGACCCCAAAGGAGGGCAGTGAAGAAAGCATGTCACAGATATTCAACCTTAGGACTAGAAGTAAAACATTCTTGCTTAAGGCAATTACAAATAGAGCAATGATGTATATGTGTCTGTGATATCACAAATGTTCAGTTTGTTTAATATTGTGAATTCTAAATTAGCTAAATACTTACCGAAAACAGAAAAAAGTAGGAACAAAGACATTTATAAATAATAAATACTTCTACTATTCAAAAATACCTGCTATTTGGGTTTTATATGTCTTTATTTCCATGGATATGTAATTTTTTTCTGAAAAATCAGGATAATTCACAGGCTTTTTTTTTTTTTTTTTTTTTTTTTGAGACAGAACCTCACTATCTCACCCTCGGTAGAGCACTGTGGCATCACAGCTCACAGCAACCTCAAATTCTTGGGCTTAAGTGATTTTCTTGCCTCAGCCTCCCAGGTAGCTGGGACTACATGTGCCAGCCACAACATCTGGCTATTTTTCTGGTTGCTGTTGTCATTGTTGTTTAGCTGGCCCAACCAGGTTCAAACCCGCAAACCTGAGTATGTGGTGGGCTTCCTATCCACTGAGCAATAGGCACTGCCCAAGGCTACTTCATCACTGTTTGCTTCCATTAAAAATACATTATGAACACTTTTCTCCTTAAAAACTTTTTTAAAGTATAGGTCTGAACGTCAGCCAAGTAGTCTGCTTCGTGGCTCTAAATTTTGCTTTAACTTTCTCTAACTGGTGTTTATTTTTAACATGTTGCATTGTACCTTTATAATGAATTTCAACACATAATTAATTCCACTGGAAAAGTAATAGATATGAATAGATATTAGTTCAAAAATTTACTAATTTGAAAATACTTACATTGCACACAAACTCTGTATTTCCTAAGTTTGAGAACAATGGGAAACATATGTTACCTTGCAAAGTGAGCTTCTCTATTAGTAACTGGTCTCCTCCAACCCTATGCACCTGGTAATGGAAGTCAAGTGGAGCAGGCCCTAAATAGATGTCTATGGGATCAACCCTACAGCCAAATTGAAGATTATCATTATACTGATTATTTGGTGTGTTGAAATTATTACTTTTTAGCTCAGTGGTTAGGGTGCCAGCTACATGCACCAAGGCTGGGGACTTCAAACCCGGCCAGGGCCTGGTAAACAACAATGGCAACAATAAATACAAAATAACTGGGTGTTGTGGTGGTTGCCTGCAGTCCCAGCTACTTAGGAGGCTGAGACAAGAGAATCACTTAAGCTTAAGAGTTTGAGGTTGCTGTAAGCTGTGATGCCACAGCACTCTACTGAGGGCAACATAGTGAGACTCTGTCTCAAAAAAAAAAAAAAAAGAAAAAAGAAAATAAATTGCTGCTTTACTTTCCAATGAATTATCTGCCTGAATGTTTTCAACTTACATTCTAGTAGTTTTGACAGGTGTTGTAGTTTCTTGGTCTCCACTTGTCAAATAAGGACCAATAAGTTCTCATTCATACTTTAATTAAGTAGGTTTATTCAAATACTTTCTTTAATTATTTATCCAAGAAAATCCTTATCAAAAAATGGAAATAAAGATGTATATACAAGTTCAAATAAAGGAGAGAGGGTTGTTTCTCCAGGCAAGTATTTGTCAATGAATGAATGGGTTAAAAAAATGTGGTACATATACAAATGAATATTACCCTATTTTGCCATGTATAATGAGCATCCATGGTTTTTTTGCCCAAATTTTCAGGAAAATTTCCCTTGAAAAAGTGGCCAGTTCTCAGCCAGGAGAAACACTTCGGGAGAGGGCGAACACTCTCCTGGTAAACATGTGGATCACACTGCCCTCCTGTGGCCACCTGCACCATGAAGGCTGTCTCTTCCCTTTTCCTAGAGAGCCCTTTCCTCTCCACCACATTGGTGAGCCACAGCAGAGATGGTCACACATGTAGCTGGTGAGACAAGAGCATCTGACGCTGCTTGGGAAGTCAGGTGGGTCCCTGGAGCCTGCTTGGGGCTGTGGACCCCTCCACATGGCCAGGCCTCAGTCTTCACGCTGTACAGCCGTGATCTGCCTTACCAGCTCCACCACCACCCTCTTCCTTAATTGCAGCTGTCAGTGGGGGCTGCTCCAATCCACCCTCACCAGATCCCAGATCCTCCCTGACCAGAACCCTATGCTCCCAGCAGCCCCCAGAAGCCCACTGGCCTCCCCTACTCCCAAGCCACACTACAATATATAATGTGCATTCTTATTTTTCCCCTCTAAAATTTGGACAAAATATGTGCTTCATACATAGCAATATATGGTATTTGGCTAAAAAATAAAGAAATCTTACCATTTATAACAACATGGATGAACCTGGAAGACATTGTGCTAAATGAAATAAGTCAGATACAGAAATACAAATACTTCATGATCTCACTTTTATGTGGACTCTTATAGAAACAGAGTAGAGGGTAGAAACAGAAAGTGCAAGAGGTGTCAGGAATGAGGGAAATGGGGAGATGTTGGGTAAAAGATATAAGCTTGCAGTTATAAATCAAACAAGTTCTAGATATCTAATGTACAGCATAGTGACTATGGTTAATAATGCATTATTTATTAATTTTTTTTAAGAGAATAGATCATACATTCTTACAGTGCCATGTCTGGGTTTGAGCCTTTTCTAGGTATTTCGGCATGTCCTAAAATATATACTTTAAATTTCGTTATAGAAAATGTTATGGTATAGGGTTTTAGATCAATGCCTCCATTTGTTTTAATAATTTTCTCTTCTAATAGCAATCCTAAAATGGAGATATTTGCCATCCTGGACAGGAGATACATCTGTATCTCTATACTGTTATATTTTGTCATATTTTATATTGCCTCATTTTTTCTTGGATTTCTATGAGATTTTCACAACCTTTTCTTAGATATTTTTGCCATCATTCCTTCTTATCTGTTATGAAAGTTATTTTTGAGTTGGGTGGGTTCAAAGCCTTATCTTGTTTGATCAGTGCAATATATTCTCAGATATTTCTGAAAGGAATATCAATGCTGGAACTATACTTTAAGAATAATAAGGATAATGGTTTTGGGCCAATAAAGAAGAAAATATAATCCTGATTTGTATGTCAATTGATGAAAATTCACATTCAATACTCACATTCATATGATATTGATTCTAATACTATTTATTGGTTTTTACTTATTACAATAAAATTTTAAACAAATTAGAAGTTTTCCAGGATGATAGCAAATGCTAATTATCTAAAAATTGGAAAAGTAAAATTAACATTGAGTTTTCACACATATTGGGGGCAATGGATGCATGTATGTGATTACACACACAGACATATAAAATATCTTGAGGAATAGGACAGGGCACAGACATAATAATTGAATTAAATCCTTGTGTATAATAGAGTAGTTAGTAATATAACTAAAGTTTTAGCATAGCTTTGAGTAAAAGAAATAACCACTAAAAAGAATAGCTAAAATATACACATATGCATATAATATTTTTAAGAGAACTATCTAAAAAATGATAGATGGACATGATTTTCAAGATGAAGATTTCAATATTTTTATGATGATCTTGTCCTTGTTTGATTATAATTTGTACAATGTACACACGTTATTTACACTAAATGTAACATACTCCTAAAAGAAAAGACATTATACATACTTGGTGTGCCATAGATATAAGAGGCAAAAAAGAAAAATTTCATAGTTTAGAAGGTCAGAGTGTGTGCTCAAGATATTTTAAATAAAATTTCATTGAAGTGTAGTATGCATGCAAAAAAGCAGATATTATAAGTGACATGAAATATTAAGTTGATACACGTTGGAACTACCATCCAAGGTTAAGAACTAATCAATGACAATATCTCAAATGCACCCCTCATTACTTGGTCCCCAATTCTCTTTCTCTCTCTCTCTCTTTTTTAGAGACAGAGTCTTACTTTATCACCCTTGGTAAAGTGCTGTAGCATCACAGCTCACAGCAACCTCCAGATCTTGGGCTTAAGCGATTCTCTTGCCTCAGCCTCCCAAGTAGCTGGGACTACAGGCGCCTGCCACAATGTCCAGCTTTTTTTTTTTGTTTGTTTTTTTGCACTTTGGCTGGGGCCAGGTTTGAACCTGCCACTCTCCATATAAGGGGCCAGGGCCCTACTCACTGATCCACAGGAGCCACCCTTGGTCCCTCATTCTCAAAGGTAAACATTGTTCTACTTTTTAATAAATCAGTTTTGCCAGCTTCTAAAATTTATATAAATGAAAACACACAATATGTATTTTTTCTTTCTCTCAAAATTATATTTACATAGACCACAATTATTTATGCATGTACTCTAACATTGATGGACATTGGTGTTATTATCAACTTCTGTGTATTATGAGCATGATGCAATATACATTTTTTACAAGACTTCTGGTGAACTTTGGTATGAAATGCGACCACATATACAACTGTCCAACTTGAAAGAGAAGCAAGAAATAAGAATTTAGTGAATAAGAATGAACTCCAAATGACTTTGGCAGGATAATGCTGAGAAAAGTAAATTAACACAAACCTTAATGAACATGGCTCATTTTTTACCAGGGATTTAAAATTTTGAAAAACTTTAACTCCAGTTTTAGTGATCCACCTATTGTGGTGCAAAATTGTGTAGATTGTCATCCAGAAGAGATATATCTAACTATAAAGTTTGAAATCCTCTGTGAATAAAAAGGCTTTGCATAACACAGTTTCACAGGAGAAATTCATGTCTTTACCTACATGAGAATGGTGGTACCCTTACAAAAGAGGTAGAAGACTTTGAGTCACATGAAAATATTTTCTGTGGCCAGATTTCTAGGTTTCTCTTGGAGGTCCTGTAATGACTTGGTCATCTCAATGGCAAAGAGAACTCCTCAGAATATTCTATTCAAATATTTTGAGAAGAATTCTCCTTTCCCTTAAAGAAGAACCTAATGACGCATTTTCGTATCTGTTTGGTTTTCACCCCATACACAATAGGGTTCATGGTGGGAGGCATAAGAAGATAGAGATTAGCCATAATAATGTGTATATGTGGAGGAACGGTGTGTCTCCCAAAACGGTGGGTAAAGAAGGTGAAGAAGGCTGGAACATAGGTGATGACAATGGCACAGATGTGAGCAGTGCAGGTGCTAAAGGCTTTTTGCCGAGCATCTGCTGTTGACAGATTTACAACTGCTTGAAGAATCATGGTGTAGGAGATTGTGATGCATAAGATATCAAAGCCTCCAATCAAGAGCGCAACCATCAACCCATAGATGGCATTGACCTTAACATTACCACAGGATATCTTGGCAACAGACATGTGATCACAGTAGGTGTGGGGTATGACATTGCCCCTACAGTATGGCAGGCGCTTGGTGAGGAAAATGAAAGGGATGACAAGAATCACACCTCTAAAGAAAGTGACAAGGCCGGCCTTGGCAATGACTGAATTAGTGAGGATAGTGGCATAGCGCAGAGGGTAGCAGATGGCTACGTAGCGATCCAGGGCCATGAGCATGAGCACCCCAGACTCCATCCCTGTGAAGGTGTGCACAAAGAACATCTGGGCCAGGCAGGCCTTAAAATCAATCTCCTTGAGGTTGAACCACAATATGCAGAGAGTGTTGGGAAGGGTGCTGGTGCACATGAGCATGTCTGTGAAAGAAAGAAGGGCTAGGAAGATGTACATAGGTCTGTGTAAGTCCTCTTCAGAGTAGATGAGGTACATAAGACCGGAGTTCCCTGTGATAGCAATGCAGTACATGGTGCACAGGGGGAAAGAGATCCACAGATGCACTTCTTCCAGACCAGGGATGCCATTTAGGATGAATGAAGCTGGAGTCAGGATCGTACCATTTGGAAATGACATAGCGACTATTGGAAGTTCATGGTGTAGAAGTTACTGAATTGTGTCTGTAAGCAGAAAAGTCCATAGAGTAACTGATAAGACAGTCTTCTTTCCCATTATAGTTAATTTGTTTCTCTTGAAGATCAATGGCCATATGTGTTCATGTATGTTAAATATGTGATATATACTCTCTTTTAGTCCATTCCTTAAGCATTGGATGTTGATAAAGTGAACTGACTATGTGTTTTTTCATTGTGTTTGGATGTGGTCATATACTCCATTCTCCAGGCTAAAGTTGGTCACAAACCGAACAACTCAAGTACTAATTAAATATTTATTGCATTCTAGGTCCTCTCCATCTTAGGCAGAAATGCTCATTCTATTCTGAAATGTTGACAGACTTCAGTAGATCTTGTGGGCTCATTCACTCTTACCTAATGGACATACTGACAATAATTTCAATCTAGTTTCTTTTTTTTTTTTTTTTTTTGAGACAGAGCCTCAAGCTGTCCCCCTGGGTAGAGTGCCATGGCATTACAGCTCACAGCAACCTCCAACTCCTGGACTCAAGCGAGTCTCCTGCCTCCGCATCCCAAGTAGCTGGGACCACAGGCGCCCGCCACAACGTTCAATCTAGTTTCAGTATGAACTTCACACTTTTGGTTTGCAGAAACCTAAATGTGGGAAACTATAAATCATTCCCTGGTACCAGTAATTTTCTTTAAAGAAAGTCATAGAGTGTTCTTACAGGTAAAAAAAATAAAATCCCCTTTCTAATAATCAAAGTGCCACCTAGTTGATCAGTACCACAATGAATAGATGATACAGATTCATTACAAATGCAATAATTTATGAGAAGCTGATGTTTTTCTAAGATTAGAGTCCAGTCTAATGGAGAAGGGAGGCCAATCCAATAAGGATAAAGATTCTTATCATCTTAAACCAGATCAATTGGCATTTCCTTTATAAAAGAGTGCTTTATTTTCCAACAATATCAACTTCAGAGAGTTATAGAATTAAATATTACCATTTCAAAAGCTGTGTAATCTCCAAAGCCTCTTTTTCTGGCAATAAAGAAGATACTTATTTTTTTTCAAAGTGCACAGAAAAAGAGTCTGTGGTACAACAAGGAGTAATAAAACCCTCACTAATAGCACAGGGGAGAATATTGTGACAGTACTTATAAGACAGACAGGAAATAAGAATAATGTTATGATTATATGATGGATGCAAATAGGGTGCAAGAGTCTAAAGAAGTGAGCCATATTGAGTGGAAGGTGTTGATTTAAAAAAGGAACAAGAAGTGTGATGGGAGTAATTCTATATAAGAGGATATTTAAGGAATTAAATGTCAGTATTAAAATGTATAGTCCCTCCTGGAATATTGGAGTTAACCCATCTCTCGCTTCACGGCAATTAGAGGTTGTTCATAGTCCATCCTGGGCATATTGGTGGTGGCCTATCTATCACTTCAGAGGTATCCCTATTGGAAATGTGTGGTTGTATAAAATTGGCTTCTATTTTTTCTTATGTCTCTCTCAGAAAATTTTATATTTTTATTTTGTAAAGTATGAGAAATGCAGAGATAAAGTCTAGGGACCTTTTGAATTGAGATATAATTTAAGTACTATAACTATAATCTGAAATAGAGGAAACTTCCTGAAAATAAGAGTAGATAAAAAAAACAAGAAAATTATAGAATAAATAGGTCATCACTCTTTTCTCTCAGAAATACTGTTTTTAGCTTTCATAGCTAGTGGGACATTATAGAACACTCTACACAAGGGTTGTGCCTCAGTCATTGACATGTGAATGTTTCACCCGAAGTTAAAACATAGCATACAAACCAGCATGTAAAAGCAGACTTAGCAGGCATGTGCCTTTTGGAAAATTAAGAGAGTAATTTTATCTGGCAACTTTTTATTCATCCTCTCGTCTCACCTAGCATAATCTACCCTCATTCCTTTAACAAGAAGAATGCACCCCCAATTTAGAAATCTGCTCACCTTGTGAACTACTGGAGTTCCTCAAGATCCTGAAGACATATCCATGGAGTAAGTCATCTTCATGTCTATGTGATGCTTTTGTACCTGCTGGAGAAATGCAAAATATGTATTGAGATCTTGAGAGGGATTTGGAAGCCGGAACATTTCTATTCTCTGTGTATGTGTGTGTGTGCACATGTGTGCACTCTGTGTGAGTGTGATATATTCTGAAGTTGAGTAGTCAGAAAATGTTGATTGTTGCTGTCTCTATTGTAGTCTCAGAGGAAATTGATTTCTAGTGTGTGTGTGTTTACAAAAAGAATTGAAAATGAGTTATATCTGGGTCCTAAGGATGCTGACTAAACCCCTGGGGGTTGTATTGGAAACCATTTTGTCCCTCATAATAGTCTAGGACTCTTGAGGGCATAATTTTTCATAGATGCAGCAGAGACCAGGTAAGTCTAAAATAATTTGGAATTTTAGAATCAAATCCTTTGAGAGACAGACTTATTTTCCAAGTTTTTCAAACTTAGAACAAATGTCAAGCATAAAATTGATATTGGAAAAATATTTTTGAAGACAAACTAAAAAATGCTGGCATGCAAATAATTGAGTTGCAAATGTAATCTTGCATTTAATGACCTCAGTATATTTGCATATTAATTATAACAATTTTTGTATAGAGTATTTTGGATTGTATAGATATATGGCATCACATTGCTTACAAAAAATGAACACTTTTTTCTCCTTTCTTTTCTATTTTTGTGCATTTTTCTTGCTCTATTTCCCTGGTTAGAGTCTTTCTTCTCTGCAATGTCTAATACAGGTAGTAAAAATGTATAGCATTATTTTATTACTGATGACTGGGGTTAAAGAAATTTGATTTCAGTTAATCATATAAAGACATAAACTTATGATGCAGAAATACTGCTGTGAAATAATAAAAAAATTATATTTCCCTTAACAAAATATCCTCTAAGTTCATCAATTTTGCTAATGATAGAATTTACTATTTTTATTTTGATCAAAGTTGTTTCTTTACTTTTATTTTATTTATTTTTAAATTCAGATTAATATGAGGGTACAAATGATTAGGTTATATTGGTTTGCATTTGTTAGGTAATGTCCAAGTTGTAGTCAAGTCCTTTACCCAGGAGGTGTGCCATATGTCAAACTAATCAACAAGAATTTCCTAATTTTTTGTAGCTGAACAGTATCCCATTTTGTATGTATTCCACAATTTTTAATACATTCATCCATTGATAGACATTTAGAGTATTTACATGGCTTGGCTATTGTGAGATTCATAGTATCTTCTCCTAGGCTGCAGGTTGTCTGTTCTTGCTACTGATTATTTCTTATGCTTTGCAGAAGCTTTTCAAAGTCTTATATATTTATTTTTGTTTTTGTTGCTGTATTTTTGAGGTCTTAGTGATGAGTTCTTTCCCGAGATCAATGTGCAGAGGAGTTTTACCTAGGTTTTATTATAGTGTTTTACAGTTTCAGTTCTTAGATTTGAGTCTTTAATCCACTTTGAGTTGATTTTGTGGATGGTAAGACGTAAGGGTTTAGTTTCATTTTCTGCATGTGGCAATCCAATATTCCCAGCAGTATTTATTGTAAACGGCATTTTCCCCCCAGTTTATGTTTTGTGCCCTTCAAATAGGGTTGTTTGGTATTATTGAGGAGTTTTAAGTTCCTTGCATATTTGGAATATTAGCCCTTATCTGTTGTAGGATTTGCAAATATTATTTTCCCCAGTCTATGGGTTTTCTCTTCATTCTATTAATTATTTGTTATACGGGAGCATTGTAGTTTGACATAATCTCATTTTTCTGTTTTTGCTTTTTTTGTCTGTGTTATAGGGATTATATCTAAGATATCTCCACCAGACCAATGCCACAGAGCTTTCCCTAAGTTTTCCTCTAATAGTTTTATCATTTTAGGTTTATGTTTAAGTCTATAATTTATTGTGAATTGATTCTTCTATAAGGGATGAGAAAATGATAATTTTCATTCTTCTGTATGTGAATATTCAGTTTTCTCAATACCATTTATTGAAGAAAATACCCTTTCCTCATTGTATTTCTTGGCACCTTTGTTAAAACTCAATTGACTGTAGATATGTGGATTTATTTCTAAACTCACTCTCCTATCCAAATGGTCAATGTATATGTTTCTATGCCAGTAACATGCTGTTTTGATTACCAGGGTTTTGTAATATATTTTGAAATTCTGTAGTGTGATTCCTCTAATACTGTTGTTTTTTCAAGATTAGTTCAGCTATTCAAAGTCTTTAATAATTCTATACATATTTTAGGGTTTTTTTCTATTTCTGTAGAGAATGACAATGGAATTTTGATATGAATTGCATTAAATCTATAGATTACTTTGAGTAGTATGGACATTTTAACAATGTTAATCTTCTTTTTTTTTTTTTTTTTGCAAGTTGGACATTATTTCTTTATACAAAGGTAAACAATGTTAATCTTCTAATCCATGAATATTAGATATATTTCCAGTCATTTGTGTTATCTTCAATTTCTTTCATCAGTGTTTTATAGACATTATGTTAAGGTTAATAGAATAAGCCAGGCATAGAGAAAAAAATATAGTATGATCTCACTGATATGTGGGATCTACAAATAGAAAGGAACTGTTTTCTATTTCTATTTCAAAATAACTATAAGAAATAATTTTACATGTTATCATCCAAAGAAATGATAAATATTTTACATGATGGATATGCTAGTTACACTTATTTGAATATTTCACACTGTATATGTGTTTCAGGACATCACATTGTACTCTATAAATATGTAGAATTATTATTTGTCAATTTAAAGTTTTAAAAATATTATAAAATGAAAACACATCTAAGCCAGAATGAATCATACTTGGCTAAATTCTTATAGTAACATACAGTAATTCATAATAATATGAATGTGTCTGATGATAAAATCCACCTGGACTTTCAAGTATAGCCCTACAAACACCCTGAAATATCTGTTTGGCATATATGCAATTCATCAGGGG